ATTTAACAGAGAGAGAGAGAGAGAGAGTGCGAGCGAGCGAGCCAGCGAGCGAGCGAACGAGTGCAATGTTTCTGTGACAGCCCAGCCGTGAAGCAAAGATGCTTCTTCGACTGAAGCATGATCTTCTCGAAATTTCTGTCTGCAGCGATGATTCAGTCTCGCTGTCCAGTTGAGCATAGTCCTTCCCTAACGGCCCGACTGGGACGGCTGACACTGTGATGGTAGTCTTGCCTGTATGTATTCCTGCAGTGTCATTGCTTTCCATTTGGTTTTCGTCCCACGTGCATTTAAAAGACTTCCAAAAGGTCTGCAGGGGAGCTTTGGGAGTCTGGGACTGTGGTTCAGAGGGAGGCAACTTGGTCTAGAGTCTAGAGATGACACTGTATCCTCGTGTGTCGAAACATGTCGCGACCCTACCAAATGGCATTAATATCGAGGCCTAAATGATTACCAATGCTATGTTTGAGGGGGGTTCCTCATTATCAGTGTAGCATAAATATACCCCCAACTCTATTCTAATTATTAAGGCCCTACATTATGCCAAAGGCCTCCCAAGATGTGGCAAAAGCGCGAGGGAAAACGTTCCCTCAGTTGAACTAGAAGCCTTAGTGCCTCAGTGCCCTGAATTATGACCTTGCTGATTGATGGAACGGTCTTTGAGTAGTCCCGGCAGCACCAGTAATAACATGATATAACATAGTATTCATTAGATTCATTAGCGTACTTTATGCAGCGCCAAGGCTGCCCTTGCATCGCGCGGTGTGTGCTTCACAGGTGCCGGGAGTCGGTTGTGGTCCAAGGGGTGTTTCGAGTCGCGCAGAAGGCCTGGCAAAAAAGTCCCGGGCCCATCAACAGCTCGCACCCTTCACCTCAAGACACAGACAAAGAGGATACAAAATCCACAAGCATGAGCTAGGACTACTGCCAAAAGCCTGCTGGAGACGGTAACAGAACTTGTTCTCTAAACCAGACCTGTGAGGTCCTTTAACATATTCATAGTCCCGCTCAACAAGCGCGTCCCTCGCGTCTGAAGCGCCGTTGCCAGGCTAGCGTCGTGGAGTTCCTGGTGGAGCAGAAGTCCGACATCCAGGCTGCAATGAGGGCATGGAAGGCTCAGGGAAGGAGCTTCGATATGTGCTAACAAGTGCTATGACCTAGTCCTCAGAGAAAAACCTCACGGAAGACCACATCTCAGGGTTTCTCAAGGGAAAGTCAGGCTTTCCGTGGTTCGTGGCCTCAGGGCAGAGGGATGCATTCCAGATCGAAGCCTGCTGCCCTATCCAGGCGCGCAACCAAGAGGGCAAGTCGTGCCTGGATCTTGCAGCGGAGAAGCACGACCTTCACATGCAGGCCCGCTCCAGATGAAGATCTAGCCGACACCCAAAATTTGCTAAATTCCAGAAGAACTCATGAGCCAAAATGTGTCCGCACTTCAGCTCTTTGCATTCCCGCGGCTCTCAACTTCGAAGTCTCCCGGAGCTCTAGGTCCCCTCCCGAGACCCTCTGAAAGCTCGGCGAAGGGCTTGCTCAAGTCGTTGATGAAGAAGTCAAACGACCAGTTCGGAGGACGGGTCGAAGCGTGTAGTGGTCTTTTTCCGGAACTTGTTGGGGGCTGCCATCACGATGGGTCGTGTTCCCATCATTCTACCTATAGAGTGTAAGGGAGCGGTGGATAGTTTCTTCGGCTCTGGGATATGCGTTCCCGGTTGGGGGCGGAATTCTTGGGTCGCACGTTAGCTCAAGACTACTCTCGTGTAGTACATCTTCATGCGATATACTGAAAGCTGTTGTAATAGGGGGCATGATGCCATGAGGTCGAAGATCAAATTATGACAGTCGGAAACGTCACGAATGCTACTCTGCTTTGCGACAGCACAGCATGATATAAGTTCGCATAGTGGCAGAGGCTCTATAGGCTCATACCCTACACGCTTTTTTAGGGTACCTGGTTCTCTAGTTAACTAGATCTAGTATCTAGAAAAGTAGGCAAACCTAGAAAAGGGCTAGGGCATGAGCCTTTAAAAGGTACAGCAGCTTGAAGCATGCACCGGGAGAGTCCAGGAGCCAAAGTCCAACCCGAAGACCTCGAAGCCGGGCAGGCCAAGGCTCCCTGGCAACTGGGTCCTACTTGTAGCACGGTTTAGGCTTTAGGGTGTAGGGTTTATAAGTTATAAGGTTGGTCCTAGCACGGTTTAGGGTGTAGGGTTTATAAGGTGTAGGGTAAGCTTCTCAGGAGGGTTCTTGTCTTTGTTGTGCGTTTGTGTGGGTTTGGATATGGAGGGGCGAGCGAGGCTCTAGGGCTAGTAGCATGTAGGGCCTATTATAGGGTCTTTGCCGGCTTTCGGTTTAGGGTGCAGAAAGAAGCTGATAGCATTTAGGGTCTTATGATCCTATGGGGTTTCGAGCTCAGGGTCTAGCATGAAAACTCAGGGCTCTTTGGAAATTAGCAGAACATACCAAGTTGCTTCATGCTTCACGGCTAAACTACTCGGATCCGCAGATATATGAGTCCTCATCAGGGGCAGGCGATGGTCCTTTATGTTGGGCCAGATGTTAGGGTATCAGCGCCGTTCGGGGTGTTCAGGACTTGTAGCAATACCGGCTTCGAACCTTCGTCAAGGTGCTTCTAACCCTGCTTGCGTTGTCGTGGGTTGGCAGAGTACTTTCAGGGTTCGGCCGGACGGGTCACATCGTCTGCGGCTGTGTCTGTGTGTGTGTGTGTCAACTGGTTCCTGGACTTCTAAATCCGAGCTGCTCGGTCCAAGCGACCCGCAAGACAAGTTGTTTTGCGAACCACGAACTGGTCAATAGCCCCGCAGATGCTAGCACTTCGAGAATCCTCTGACGACCATGTGATCACAGTAGTGCGCTCAAGCCACCCTCAATTCGTGACCGTGCATTCCAGGGTCGCTGGAGTCCGCACCCACTCAGCACACACCCCAAACCTTTCAAGTCCGAAACCAAAGCCTTGCTTGTCACTGGCAGCTTTAACAGAAGAATGCTCACGACCGCAACAACAACTCTGTCAGCTGATGAACAGTCCCCAAACCCTAAGCAACAAGCCCTGAGCCGTAAATCCTAAACCCAGTCAAGAGCCAAACACCGGAGCTCCGATGGCGCTCCGCGATGCTGGCCATGGAAATGAGCCAACGGTGCTCGGCGCCGCCTGCGAAGCAGGAGGTCTGAAAAGTAAGGGAGTATAAGGCCTCAATAAGGCTACTAAAAATGTAAGGGTTAAAGTTAGGGCAGGGTTTCTATAGGGCTTACCATAAGAGGTACTGTACTAATACAATACCGATTTGCAGGACTTTCTACAAGTTATCCCATGAGGGCTACCATCGGAATAGCGTCACCAAGTGGTTCCTGTCTTTCTTTGTGGGCTATTGCAAGACCAGGGCTGCAGCGGCCAAAAACGATTCTTTAAGTCGCTGTTGGTCTTACGGTATTGAAGCCAAGGGGTTATGGAATTCAGATCACGGTCATGCAGGGAGGGCAGGGTCCAAAAGTATCCAGAGCATCATCTTCCTCCGGGTACAGGATGGTTTCCCGTGATACGTCATCGTAGCTCATGGCAGCTTCTTGAGATCGCAAGAGTGTTCTTCTTCTTGGTTCTTTGGGGGGAATGCATCCGTATGAAGGTCTCCTATGGTAGTCCCAATAACCCATTCCCCCATTCCCTGCTAAGAACCAGCCAGTCTCGTGCATGAGAGTCGCTTGGCTATGCATCCCAGTCCCAGTCCCTGCTTCTCTCGAGGTGCCGGCGCCGAGGCTGCCGCATCCGCGCCGTCCCCGACCTCGCCGGAAGGCCTGCCACGGTCTTACAGTTCAGGGCTTGTTGCAAAGAGGTTTAGGGGAAAGCAACAGCCGAGACGAAGGGATCAGGCATCGCATGTCCCCATCTGGGAGGATCTATGCTGGTGGACTTCCACCCGGAATGCAACAGTGCCACTAAGACGCCGGTGCAGTGCAAAGGGGCAGGATGAATGTTTCGTGCACCTGGGTTAGAGGTTTGCATTGGAAGGACTCCGCACCTAAACTTAGCAAGCAGGCCCAGGCTATAAGTAGGACCACAGCTGGGACTTACAAGTCTACCAACACCCACTTACGCAGCTCTGCCCCCGAGTCTGCGGGTGTACGAAAGCAGAGGTGACAGCTTAGTCCAATGAGAGAGACGACCACGGAAGGCGAGGTCAACTGGGACCTGGACTTCGGGTCGCTTTGGGAGGGCGGCTGGGAGGACCAATATGCCTCGAGTATGAAGCTTTGTACTTTGCTCTTCTCCCTGCCTATGGAAGGCTTATCCTCTGCTCCAGCTACCTAAAAAGTAGGTTACCAGCCATATAATATATGTAACACAGTAGCCCATGGTTTAAGTAAGTGGAGCCCGAGGTTAAGCAAACTGTCAACTCAGTGAAACTCGGAGGAGCTTCTGCGCGAGGATGCGGAACAGAGCCTCGGAATGGTCAGAAGAATCAAAGATTCGTAAAGCGGACAGGAACGAGAAGAAGCAGTAGCTGCAACGACAACGACAACTACATCAACAAGAAGAAGAAGGACAAGTATTTTTTACATATTGCTACTACTACTACTAC